CCAAGAATACAAGGTGTGTTACTATCACTAGTTACATGCAGATATAAAATTAAAATAATACTTACATTTCCTCTTATTTAGTGATAGAATGATGTAAAGACGTACCTGAAAATTAAAATATTCCTTTTAATTATTTTTTAATAAACAGATGTAAGATAGCTTACTTGTGATTGTGGTGAATCGTTGCAGTCGCTAACGAAGAAATGTAAATTAATATGCAATTATCCTATGTACCTATTATCTATCTGTAGATTAGTTTTAGATTGAAATTCTTAATTTCAATGTTTTTGGCGCTTTTTTCATTGATTTTGTCAGTGTGTTCTACGTATTTCGTTCGTACCTATACTTTGTTACTTTCAATAAACTGTACGTATATTTTCTTTTGTTAAGTGCAATTTACTTACCTGTGACATAGATACAAAAATATTTTTTTTTAATTTTAATTTACAAACTAACATTTGATAATGCCACTGCATGATATAATACGATCTCGAAGGTGTCACATTATAGTTTTTATAGTCGCCATGGTCGCCTGCAATCAAATAATTCTTAAGGAAATAATTCGATTTCATGAAATTAATAAATAATTATTTTCACAACACAAATAGTCATAATCACAATACACAATAATATTTTAAATATTTCTATGTAATTTTAATGAATTCCTTTTATAAATTACGAATCATAACGAATGTTCTAATTACAATGAGTAAATTTTTTAACCGACTTCAAAAAAGGAGGAGGTTCTCAATTCGACTGTATGTTCTTTTTTTTGTATGTATGTTACGCAATAACTCCGGTATTTGTGAACCGATTTTCATGATTCTTTTTTTGTTAGAAAGGGGGTACTTCCATAGTGGTCCCATTTCATTTTGAAGGAAATCATCCACCTCGAAGGGTGGCTGTTCACGCATGAAGAATCATTTTCATAAATAGCGCCTAACATTAATTTAAGAGCAATTACTTGAATGGTTGATTTTGCTATTTCTCCAATTCAAGGCGTTTTTCTCTCGATATACTTTGAGTAGTGAGAACCGATTTTTATTATCTCCAGTGTCAAGTCCTGTATAGTGGCGAACATATTGAAATAAAACTTAGCAAATAGACGTAATTCCACGTACTTTTGAGGTCGGTTTTTTTAGTACTCTGTACTGAGATTATTGGCTATTGTATATTGTATCTTTTGTCTGAAAATAAATAATTTGAATTTAAATTTCGAAATGCTGAACGGATAAAATATAAAAACTGTTCGTTGAATTTTTCACTGCGCTTATTTCCTTGTAATTTTATCACAATCGTTTGAAATTTATGTAGGTGATCGTAATTCGAAAATAGAACAAAAAGCATCATAATTGAGGCTTGTTTTTTAAAATCTTTTTAATAATGTTACCAGAAGTGCACAAAAATTTACTCAGTTTGGACTCCTATCTTCCATATCACGGATACTTTTCGATACGAGAGACCTTAAATTCCATATGTTTTAATTTACATGTTTTTACAAACATAGCTTTTTGTAGAAGTGGAACTCCTTGTGAAAGAGTTCGTTCAGGGAAGTACCGCCATCTTATCTATTTCTGCCGTAAAACAGTGACGTGAGCGTGACCTCGGACTTGTCAACATGTTCCCCTCAGGTCTTTGCGATTTGACGCTCTGAGTGCATGGCACTGCAACTCACCAAAATCGGTGCAGAAATGCCGTGATAAATTATATCGCGTAACATACATACTAAAAAACGATATTCAACGTATTTTACCATTTCGTGATTTTTAGCATTTTTTATGACACTAAGTGATAGGACGAACGTGCACCTGGTAGTAAGCCACACGCCTGCCCATAACAGTTGCATTACTACTCAGAGCTTTAAGTCATAAAGATGTGGGGACACTGCCATTGCGCCCGTCACCCTGAGACATAAGTTGACAAGTCTCATATGCCTGTAATTTCACCAACTTTTCAATAATATTGTCATAACTAAATAAAGGTACAAACCACTGTCCTGCTCTTTATTTTCCGTTTCTGTACTTGAGATTTTTTAATTATGAATCTTTAAATTATGAATACGTTCTAGTAGATTCGATTCGCTTTAATTTTGAGTCGATTCGCTTAAAAATCGCATTGAAATGAATCGATTAAAAAATCCTTAGATCGTATGCAATTGAATCGATCTTTATAAAAATCGAATAGTAATATGCATCGCTAATAGGCACCTTAATTCAATTAACATAAAGCTTATTATTATATGGTTAAAAACCCGCGACAATGTAAATTGAACCTTAAACAAGCTCCTTTGTTTCAGCTTCAAAGCTCATGTACCTGCAAATATATTATATTATTACAATATTCCTATAACACAGATTTCTCCCTTTTGATCTTTAATATTCCACGACGGTATCGTAAACCGTACGCAATACTGTTTCTAAAATAAATTATCATCCATCATCTTGCGAGCAGGCCGTGTGTGGGAGACTGTAAATGTAGGTATAGGTTGATCAACAATAGTTGACGCGAAGAATGTGTATTTACATTCACACATATGACGTATTGTTTTACTACAACACACGACTATGGATTGTATAACCGCTCACCGATACATGCAGCCGTAGACGCATACCACACCTAGAGGTGCCGGTGATGCTTTTATACCGATTTATCGGATATCGAAGTTATAACAGGTAAAAGAACTAATACTAATTGCTATTTACGTAACTATTCTAGCAAACCATAAAGTTTTTAATGCCTGGGTCTGTCATTAAAAAAAAATAAACAACTTCAAAAATACGTCACGACAATCGTGTGTGTTATTGTTTGGGCTGGTGATTTCGGTGTTTATTTGTTGAAAACATACCGTAACTAGCATTTTTTAAGTTTACCCTGAATATAAATGTTTATAAATTATACTTTAAGGAGTAATTTCATGGTTAACGTTAGAACAACTCAAACGGAATATTATCATACTTACCCAAGTACACCAAAAATTTCATTAGTGCTTTTTAAGTGCAGGATTTGCGGTGTATTACTGCATTTTATTTGAGATGTTTTTGTTGTAGTACGGAGGGTAATTATTTAGCAATGCAGAATAATATTTTTTTTATATAAACTTGTATTTAAACTGAATCCTTTTCTAATTTGCGAAACCAAATAGCCGCCATTTTGCGGTAGGATGAGCGCATCGCGTGAGCGGTTATATACAAAGTGTGATTCAAGTAGATTTCATATTACCATTCTGTCAAATTTAGATAATACCTATTGGGGAGCGTACAGATCTGGCAAATGTGCCGCAAATGCGCCTGTTTGAGAAAGGGTCGCGAGCTGCATACGTGCATTACGCTGTGCGATTTGTTCGCGTGATGTTGTCGCGTCGCGTCGCCGCATATATTAGTATGTATTTAAATGCACGCGCGGAACACGCGTGCAGTGCGCGTGCAGCACGTTCGCGTCGCATCCGCCGATACAGTTAGTGAAACAAACGTAAAAATTAGAGAAAAGTAAGACATAGTGTTAGCGGAGCTCATTGAGAAGGATAAGTAGAGCTTCCTTTGAAAGAGATCGTCTTTACCTATTTTTGCCGGTTTTGAAGAGTAAGGTTGCTGATAAATTAACGGGTACATTGGAATTGTCAACTTATTTGTCGGGGTTATGAGCGTAATGGTAGTTTAGTTCTTTTTTCTTGCACATACTCATAATAACGCATTCACTCATAGCACAGCACTAGGGAAAACCCTGTATCGCCGTTGCCATGGACATACACAAAAACAACCACAAATTGCACCCAAACTCACGAGAGAAATAAATGTAGGTCTTACAAATATTTCTCCCGGCCCGGGAATCCAACTCGCGACCTCTGTGTGGCAGTCCAGCACGGTAACCGGTCGGCCGTTATTACACGAAAGTTATGTAAATATACTTGGCTTAATGATGGATATACACGTACTAGCCGTAGGGTAGTATTCCACCTCTATGTTAAGAAAGGATACGCCACCAATTATATGGCGAACGGCTATGGAGTGGAATCCCCTGCCTGCAGACTTTATACCCTAAAAGATATAACTTGGGTCTTTTTGAAAGCAAGAGTGACTTATTTAGGTAGGCCATTCTCAAATTAGGTGTTCTCACCCTAATTACCATAACCTTTTCGGTACTCTCGGCCTAATTACCGTAGATATTGTTTTTTCTCGCTTAGATTTAGAATTAGGTTTAATGACTGTTACCATAAAATATTTGTATCTTAATAACTCGAAAACTACTTTGTCTATTCTAATGCCATTTATACAAATTGTATGGCGAATGTCTCCGGCATTGAGGGATATTTAATGCGGCGTCAGCTACGTTGGTGTGGACAAGTCTCGCGCATGTCTGAATCGAGAGTTTTGAAGCGTATCTTCTTGTCTGAGCTCCAGAACGGCAAGCGGAAGCAAGGCCACCAGTTCTTGAGATACAAGGATGTTCTGAAAAGACACATGACAAGTTGCAACTTGGCCCCTTGAGGTGAGAGATGCAGTCGAGTTGCCGTTCTGGGTGGAGGCACTTTGTGAAAACTCAGGTGACAAAGTTTGAGGAGCAGGCTAAGACAACTGTAGCCATTTTTATTACTATGTTGATGGTGTCCTTACATGTCGCCACTGTTTGCGAACATTTACCAATACAGGTTGATTACTGTAGCCATCTGGTATTATATACATATTGGGGGTTTAGCTTATAAAAATTCATTCAATAAAATAATTTGTAAAACTTAATATAGAGTAAATTGGAATGTTTTCTTTGTAAAATTAAAAATAAGGCACAACCTCAGTCAATCGTGACCATGGGACCTGTAAAGGGCCCGAAACGTCGGTTTGTTTGAAAAAACAAATATACGCGATTTAAATCCGGAAAAATAGTTTCATTTCCTATGTGTAACAATCGCGAAAACCTACGAACTCGATAAGTATATGTATACATAGGTAGGCGAATTGACAAGAATTAATCTGAAGAACTCATCTTCGCGTCGTACACCGTATTACCAAGAGTCGTGACTCCCCCGCGGTAAAAGTCTCCACATGACGACGCTGTGCCGTCTGTGGCGGTGTTTAGCACAGTGTAGCTCATCATGGAGACCCATGCCGAGAGCTGCACAAACTTGGTCGGACCATCTTGTGAGACAGCGACCCTTCGGACGTTTACCGCCTAACCGTCTTGTATCCATTAGATGTTCGAGGTTATGCCCTTTTTTCCTGGTAATGTGGCCAAAGAAATCAAGTATCCTACGGAGACATAAAGTGGTTAGGCAGGTCTGAACGTTAAGCTTCCGCAGAATTCTGTCGTTGGTGCGAAGATCTGTCTAATGGACTACCAACATTTTCCTCCAACACCACATTTCGAAAGCATCAATGCAGTCACGTTCCGCCTTTTTAGTGTCTGTAGTTAAAATTCGTTTCTGCTGCATAGTTAAAAATAGAAAACACCAAAGAGCCCACCAATCTCATCTTGGCTTTACGCGTGATGTTACGGTCCTTTCATACCCTGTACAATTTGAAGAACAGACGAGTAGATATGCGTATGGTAAACGTGTACACAATCGTAACGTCAAAGTCATTGCGTAGAGAGCATTTACAAAAGAAAAGAGTAAAGAAAGATAAGCACTTTTTACATTTTATTTCTGCACAGCAGCACGTTTTATTGCTCGGGATGGCGTTTTATGATATCGTAAATTTGCGCTCTGTGTGCTGTACTTAAGATTTATATTTCTATGGTGAATTTTGACAATTCGTATTTGGATTTGCATTCTTGTTCACGTTACGGAGCACCAGGTTTGTTTGTCCTAATCAATGTATTGCGTTATAAAAACAAAGGTTGAGAAACGAATTTAGTTTTGCATGAACACATTAATCAATAATTGGGAAAAGGGCAGCTAGTGTATGGTTTTTACATTTTGTGTATATAATGTAGTAGTTTATAATTACTTTCTTAACTTCAGAACAACAGTTCTCGCCTTGCTCTAAATGTGACGTTTACTAAACTTTGATTGATTCTTGTACGTCAAGTCATTGCGTCAAAACTTAGTGCACATTTGACCTTTAACTCGCATGACGAAAAGTGACGTAGATGTCGACGATGTTGTCTGCATATCTAAATAATTCCTAATCGCTGTTACCTTGAAAAGGAAGGCTAGACAGGAAATTAGTCACAAAATAGGCGGCTTTTCAACAACTCGCACGAGTTTGCCCTCACAAACGTAAGATACAGGCCCCGTAATGCAGATGCGTCCGTAGCGTTGCATGGGTCAAAGCGAAAAATGGGCGGGGCACCGGCGATGATTTGTCATCCTGTAACGATGTAATTATTATTATGAAAAGGGCGGAGCCGGTGCGCGGCTGTCGGCTCTGCAATCAGTAAATGGTCCGTGGATTCATCTACTAGTACAGTTTCGAGGTATATAGTTAAAACCTGTCACTAAACTCAAGTCAAAAGCTATCAATACTCATTCAGTTACATGATATTCGCTTCTTTATTTATTTTTCTGATAATCACTTAGATGCGTAATTAACTAACTGCACGAAATTAAATTTGATTATTTATATTTTGTTATAATTATTAATACAAAGATCGAACACTCAGAAAAAATTCCTTCGATCCGGCCGGATTCGAACCGACGTCTTCTAGCTTGCCGTGTCACACGCTATACCAACTAAGCCACGGAATGAACCAGCGGACCTCACGAATTTTTCTATGTGCCTGCGTCGTGTCTTTGTATTTGGTTTTTCAACGATTTTTTAGGCGTAGCGGCATCTATGAGAAATCTATGAAAGATTTAACACATTTATATTTTAATTTTAAATTTGTGCGTATTATGTGAATTTTAATTATATTTTAAATCTTAATCTGTGTCGCTACACTAATTGCAATATTTATTTAGTCGAGTATTATCTTCGATTGTAAATTTGGTGAATAATACGCTGTTTTTACTACCAGGATTTGTACACGTGTTTGTTATTAATTTAGTCCGTGGTTCGACTTTATATCAATAATAATAACAAATTATTGAAGTATTTTCACAACAGTGTAAGTATTTTGATAAAAACGTAATGTCATATAATAAAATAAATAAAGTTTATAAAACAAATCCCGGTGACAAATTCATAGCAAGCTACAACATCCATACACAAAATTTATACTAAAATTATTCGTTATATTCATATCTCCTGTACGACAAGTGTATTTAGCAAATGTCACTCAGATAAATGTGTAACATAACACGCGATCTGATGTTCAAAATGTTATAAAGGTCATCGCACATTAATGCGATTCAAATGGAAGCGACAAGGAAATGACAGGTCGACGGGTACTATGCTGTTAATTAGTTTAAGTTTCTCTCTCAAAACCATACGTGGAGCTGTTTGTATTATAGTATCGTAGGTGTACACTATAATGCTTGCCATCGAGGTGAAAGGATTAGGTTAAATTTATATTCCCTTGTCACAAAAAATAGAAAAAGGCATAACTGAAATATAGAACTTACGTCTAGATTATATACCAATCTCCCATAGTATAAATATCGTTGTTATCTATTGTTCTCGATATTATACTTAATGTTTTTCTTTGCTTGTTTGTAATAAATAAACAAAAATAAAAAGATCTAATTTTCAAACACGTATATCAGACCATATGTCTCTTTAAAACCCCAGAATATTTTTTTTAGTATCAAGTGACGGAACGAACAGGTCGTTGCAGTGCCACTCAGAGCTTTAAGTCGCAAAGATCCGAGTGACACTGCCACTGCGCCCGTCACCCTGTGACATAAATTGACAAGTCCATGTGCTTATATCGCGGTGTTTGGATAAACCTATTCAGGTTTTTGTTGTACCGATAGCGGTATTACTCGTAATTTTAAAACTATATATATATTTCTTTTTGTAAAAAATTTAATACATTAAAAAAAATAAAAAAATAAAAATTGTAATTTCATCAACACTTACCCTTCAAAACCGGAACACAGAAAAGTCGGATTTACATTTACTTGACTTGTCGTGCCCTGACGCGTCAGAACATATCAGTTTCATACATTTAATATGGTAATATTTGTATTAAAGTGTCGCAATCTGTCGTGACGGCTTGTGTTATGTATATGAAACCGCTACCGTTCTGACGCGTCACGACACAACACGTCAGATAAATGTAAATCCGCCTTAAGGCTGACATTGCGGCTTGGCTAAGTAAATAGCTAAGATGGCAGTATCAGGCAGTATCAGCAGATCAAGTTTATCTTCAAAGCCATTTTTGTTAGGAAATGAAAATTAATTAAGTAGCTCCTTCTCCTTGTGAAAGAGTTCATCCAGGGAAATACTGCGTTTCGGTTTTGTAGGGTAAGGGTGCTGGTGAAATTACAGGCATATGGGACTTGTCAGAAAGAAACTACATTAAAATATTTTGTTTGAAAAGTCATATTACAAAATTGCAGACTACGTGTTAGATAAAGATGTATGAAGCGACGACATGGCTCTAGATTCCACACAAATGTAATTCAAAGTGTATTCCGTAGCATTTAACTTTATTTGAAAAGAGCAATCCCTAAAATTTCTTGCTCGTTCTTGTCAGGGAAGGCAGCGTAGTGAACGAGCGGTAGCTTAAATGTGACGTTTTCAAATGTAAATTTATTTTACCTAAGGAATAAATGATGCTTTGATACTGACTTCAACTTTGAGTCAACTTAGGGCGACGGGCGCCAGTGGCAGTGTTCCTCAGATCTTTGCGATTTAAACAACAGGTGCACGACTTGTTCGTCCCGTTATTTGGTATCTTATAAGGTTTTAAATACACAATATTATCTGCAATAATAACTTTTAGTAAATCACATTTTGTTGTCGAATTTATCAAACATTACTACTTTTTCCTAGGGCAGAATCCCTTGAGAAAAATAACCAACAAAGTCCAGGGTTTGCGCTTCGTAAATAGATATTTATCACTTGCTATATTTATTTAAAAATATCATAGACAGCAGCAACCTGAACAAGCTAAACGTATCACTCCCATGGGCGATTATCATCCGAGGAGGAGCTTCTGTGTTTTTGTATATGTTTTTGTTTTATAGTTTTAAACGTGGTAAATGGCAAATTTTGAATATCAACTGTAATCTTATTAACGAAGCAAATACTTTGCTTCTAAACCTATTAACAGTCGATGTACTCAAATAACTACACTTACATTTTTAGATAAATAATAAACCATAATAATAATAATAATAATAACGCACACACTCAACATAGCCCCGCACTAGGGAAACCCTGTGTCGCGGGTGCCATGGACACACACATAGACAACCACAAATTACACCCAAACTCACGAGAGAAATAAATGTAGGCCATACAAATATTTCTCCCGGCCCGGGAATCGAACCCGGGGACCTCTGCGTGGCAGTCCGGTATGGTAACCGTTCGGCCACGGAGGCAGTTACCGAGGTATTTACAGTTAATAAACTTTTTATAGAGGTAGTTACAGTTAATAAACCTACCCATTTTTATAAGTTTATTTTCTAACATTATTAACAAAATTATATATAATATATTTGTTTATTGCACTGACAAAGGTGAGCTTGTCTCTAGAAAGAGATATCTTCCAGCCAACCCTGGCCGTTGTGAATAAACTAAGTCTGCGGAACATTATTGCACAATACATTTATTAAAATCCAAATGTAAGTATAATTACCAACGACGACAATATAAATATGGCCGAAATATAATTCTATATTTAATATATAATATAATAAAATATACACGATATATATTATTCAAAAAGATTTCAAAAGCAACAATGTGCTACTTGCTGATCCAACTGACTAAATGGAATGCAAGAAATGTCAGAAAACTCTTTAATAGAAAAATAAGTGGTTTGAGAAATTTTAGCTTTAGGTGACTAGTGTACTCAAACAAGTACACCCTTAAAATCCAGATTTTTAAAAAATATTTTCGTAAATAATATTTTCTGTACCATTACAAATGTTAAAATTTCCTAAGAAAATTATCATTCATTTATTTGGTCATTAACGGGTTAAGCTGGGTACTCTTATAGGGAACTCTAATGTGACAGATACAGTAACGAGGTTCCAGTGTGTA